GTGGTTAGCACTGCTGCCTCACAGCGCCAGGGACCTGGGTTCGATTCCAGCCTCGGGCGACTGTCTGTGTGGAGTTTGCACATTCTCCCTGTGTCTGCGTGGGTTTTCTCTGCGTGCTCCGGTTTCCTCCCACAGTCCAAAGATGTGCAGGTTAGGCGGATTGGCCATGCTAAATTGCCCGTGGTGTTCAGGGAGATGGGGGGATGGATCTGGGTGGGATGCTCTGAGGTTCGGTGTGGACTTGTTGGGCCGAAGGGCCTGTTTCCACACTGTAGGGATGCTAATTCTAACATTAGTATATTTGCAGTTGATGACCTCATGCTAGAAGGCATGAATCATAGTTATCATTGTCAATCATTCATTGACGAGTATGATGGTCCACCTAGGAAATTCTGTGTCATGGTGGGTTCTTTGGGTCCTTGTGTGGCTGATGAGCCATCTCTCCGACCACAGGTGTTTCTGTGAAGTACAATTGGTCCTTGGCCTTGGAATCGCTGGCATTCCTTTCTCCGGTTCCTTTTCTGTACTTCCGCCTGCTGATGTGGGTTCTGAAAAAATTGTGTCCCTCATACAACAGTTTCCTCCAAAGTCTGTTTCTTCTGAATGAGGGACTCCTACATATTAATATCTATTATGCAATTTTTCAGTCAAGTCTTCAGGGAGTCTTTGAAAAACTTCCTTTGAGCTGGGCAAAGATGGTTTGCTTTTGTGGTCAGAACTCTGGCATCCTAAGTACATGGCCGACCCAGTGGAGTTGATTTTGGATGATCATGGCCTTGAAACAGCCAATACCACTAGCATCAAGGACATAATGTTTGTATGCCTGTCCTTTCAAATGATACAGAGAATCTATCTCAGACAGCTTTGGTACTTCTCAAAGGTCATCAGGTTGCATCTATATGCAGTCTATGTTGTTGAGCCATATGGAAGAGTTGGAAGGATGACTGCCTAATACATAAGGATCTTAGTCTCAGCATGGATGCCATTGTAGTTGAAGAATGTTGTCCTTAGATGGTGAAAGACAGGGCTTGCAGATTGGATGTGATGTTGAATCTCCGCATCGATGTCAGCCTTAGATGAGAGGTAGCTTCCCAGGTATAGGAACTGTTCTATATTTGGGAGGATAATGGAAGGATGGAATGGAACTTGCCCTGGGGCAGTTCGGTAAAGGACTTGAGTCTTCTTGAGCTTGAGACTGAGACCAATTCTTTGTACGCTTCTGCGAAGGAGTTCAGCAAGGTTTAATGATTCTTTTCTGAGACAACGGAGATGACGTTGTCTTCCATATACTGAAGTCCCACAAACTTCCACAAAGTTCAGTACCATTTTTATCTTAGATTTTGAAAAATTCCCTGTCTATCTGTAGACAATGCCCACATCATTGAAGAACTTGTTCTTAACAGGATGAAGAATGGTGGTGATGGCACATCCCTGTGTGATCCCTGTGATAGTGTTAGGTTAGACCTCAGGGGATTCTGATAGATTAACTTGGTGAGGACTGTTGCCGACATCTTGTCATGGAGGAGTTAGAGGATGTTGATGAATTTCTATGGACAGCCAGATTCTGAGATTGAGTTTGACTTTGTCCAGACCTCAGATAATCCCACTGGATGCAGTTTACCAGCTAAATTGGTGACAGAACAGACTATTTTTAACGAACCTTTCCTAGGTCCTTGCCTGAGCAGGGCGAGCAGAGTGACAAGGGCTGTTCAGTTGTGAAGAAAACTGACAAAACATGCCCCTCTTCCTAGTTCAAGAGTGAAATGACAGAATCAACTGCTTACATGCGGGTCAGAAGCTAGGGACTTCCAGATCTCTCAGTTCTGTCCCCATCACTTGTGCCAATAGCCACAGCGATTGTGTCGTGTGGGGGTATTGAATTCAACTAGTTGGATGCCTTGTGTGGGACGACTTTTAATGCGGGAATGCTATGGCATTCCTTAAGGAGTAGGTCCTTAACAGAAGGTAAATCCAGCTCCAATGGTGAGGAAACCTCAACAACTGGGGTTCTCCCTACTGCTGCAGTCTTCGTCCACTGTCACAGCCATTGAGAATATCTTCCACCTAGATCACCATTGAGGACTTATTTTGGATTGTGCTTGGCCTGGCTCCTCCCCTGCAACCCTCCCATCATGGGTGGTCCTGCCGGGATTTGAAAAGTCCTCATGGCATCACGCTTGGGATCAACAGAACACCCAAGATCTTCACTGCACCAAGGTGGCAATCTATAGAAAGGCAAGAATCACGGTAGGTTTATGGTACAGAAAGAAATTACTTGACCCAATGCACTTTGGTCATGTTGGTTTAAAATGAATAACTTAAAATGCTAATCTTGATTCTGTCTCCATAGCTGCTGCCTGACCTGCTAAGTATTTCCAGCATTCTCTGCTTTTATTTCAGATTTTTGCCAAACACAGTGTTTGCCTGTGTAACATTGCATCTCTGCTGTGTAGCAATATGTGATTATTACTGTTCACCCAACAATGTTCCAAAAACAGAGGCTAAACTGGTCATATTATTGCCATCTGGGTCAGTAGTCTGATCGGATTAAAATTCCAATCCAGTGACTCAAACCCATAATCAAAGGAGGAAAGAAAATAGTCAGCAAATCTTACCTGGATTCTAATGCCTTACCATATTAATCTCGGGCCCTCTTGATGAAAATAAAATGTCAGTTGTTTTGGTAATTCTGACTGAAACGGGACAACAAAAAGCTTTGGAGAAATTCTTTCTGGTGTTTTCAAGATCCTAGGAAAGAAAAGACTTGCATTTGTGCAGCACCTTTCATGATCTCAGAAGATCCCAACATGCTTCACAACAATTGACATGTTTTTCAAGTGTGGGAACTGTTGTCATGCAGGATGTTATGGAGAAAGGGAGGTTAAATGAAAGAAAATTCCTGATATTCACTTTATAAGTAACAAATAATAATTTATTGATTTAACCGTAACAGTGAACAAATTAACAGAATTACTACCAACCCAACAATTCCCCCTCAACTACTAACTATTCCCTAACTGTCTAAATTCTACTGGTATGCTGTTCCAATAAACACAACTCCCATTTATATAAACACAAGTAATAAGAAAATAAATTAAAACTTAATCTCTCAAAGCCCACGCCTTTCTTCTGCTGTTCTCAAGTCATAAATGCCTTTTCTCTGCTGATCCAGCTGTCAGGGATGTTTTCTGTATGAAGTCATCTGTGAAGACTCTTGACTAGAAGCGCTACGGCGCTGTGGATGGATGGTGCTTTCTTAGAGAGCTTAGCGATTTCTTGTGACAGCTAGATGCTTATTTCTCAGATGGCAGTTTGCTGTCACACCGATTTTCAAAAACCCTCTCCTTTTATACCTTGGATGACATACCAATTTTTTCACAATAACATTGGTCTGAGGTTGTCAAAGCCATTAGATTTAAATTCAATGGGTTTTCAATCACTAAGTACTTGATTTACATTAATTGGCTGATTCTAGCTAGATGCCAAGATATCAAAACAAGCCTAAGGTTTCCAATCACGCAGCCAATTGATACATGTTTCAATGTCAGAACTGGCTGTACATCTTCAGCTACATACAGAATTTTTTCTATAAATCTCTAAACTTAGAAAAACATTTTACCTCTTAAAGGAGCCATACACTCTTCCCCCTTTTTACAAACAAATTCTAGCTTCCTGTCTTCGAATTCACGATTACTCTACACAACTTCATAGAAGAAAACATGCAGCTAATTTGCACATAGCAAGCTCCCACAAAGCGGTATTTGGGTATCCTTGTACGTGAATCAAAGAAAATTAACATATAGGTACCCAGCCATTTAATAAGAGAAATATTATGGCAGTTTTTATGCAAGGGGTTTGGAATGCACAGGGAAAGAGGTCTTGATGGCTAGCCACAGCCTGAGAACTGTGCAACGCTTTGGTTACGTTACGTAAAGAAGAATGTATTCACCTTGGAGAGAGTGCAAACAAAGCTCACTAGAAGGATCCTAGAATTGTCCTCTGCAGGACGATAGCTATAATGGGCATTATTCTCCAAAGTTTAGAAATATGACGTGATCTTATTGAACTTATTAAATTCTTCTGGATTTGACAGGGAAGATGCTGAGAAGCTATTCCCTGTACAGGGTGGGGACAAGTCTATAACTCGGAATCAGTGTCTCAGTTTAATGGATAAGCTATTTAAGACTCCGATGAGAAATTTCTTCACTCAGTGGGTTGTGAATATTTCTGGTTATTCACCCCGAAGGTCTTTGGAGTCGCTATTGATCTGCGTGTTTTAGACGGAGATTGGTAAATATTTGGGCACTAAGGGAATCGCAGAATATGTGGTTGGGCGGGAAAGTAGGGCTGAAGTAGATGATAATGCATGATCTTCCTGAATGGTGAAATTAGCTTGAGGGGCCAAATGGCCTATTCTTGCTACTGTTTCTTATGTACTTCAACAGTAATGTGATGATAACTAGGCCATATATTTGTTGACCAGGACACCAAGGAAAACCACCATGTTCATCTTTGAAATAGTGTGCAGCATCTTTTACATTCACTTGAGGGCTGATGGGGCTTTGGTTTGAAGTGTCAATGGAAAGACAGCAGTGGAAATCCCTCAGTATGACATCAGAGAATCGGAAGATGAAACGCCACGAATTGGGGTTTGAATCTACAATGTCCTGATTCATCAGTGAGAGCTCTTTGCAATAAGCCAAGGCTAATAAGCAATTGGACAGCAGATTAGAGTGACACCCCTCAGTATCATCCCTTAATATCCAACTCTGTGGGGATAGCTTAAACAAGATCGGGATTTTTCCTGGTTGGGAGTAACAAGAGAGGCGTTTGAGATTAGGGTCTCCAGGGATAGGAATTTTTTCACTGTTCCTGGTCAGAGTCTCTGTGGAAGGGTCTTAAGCTTGACTGCTAACTGCCTTCTTACAATCTTTTGGCTCAGGAAAACAAAACATGGTCATTGCTTCAGTAAAATTAACACCATCTCCTTATCCCTGCAGGGTTGTAAAGGAAGAGATATCAGACGACAATGCCAAGTTGCCATGCTTCAATGGTCGAGTTGTGTCATGGGTGAGTTAATCTTTCACTTTAGTTGGTTTGTGATCTCAAAAACAAGTGTATATAGAAGGACACGGATACATGCAATTTGCCCAACAGATCCATGGTGGTCTTTATGCTTCACACGAGATTCATTACATCAGACACCATCTCTCCCAATCAGCAGATCTTCCACTTTCATTCCTGTGCATTTCACCAGTGGTGTGGGGTACCAGGTAAGGTCCCTCATTTTGGGTTTGGGGGAGAGTGCCCCACCCCAATCATCAATGGAACCAAGGTGAGTGACGATTTCTTCAAAGAAGCATGCTTGCTGTGGTCTGGCCTGGAGAGTGTGCACATTGACTAGGTGAGGTGGTATGTTTCAGAGCTGGACAGTGAGATGGTACAAGTGGTCTGAAACATGCTCCCTGACCCCTAGGATCTGCAGCTGAAAATGTGAGGCTAACAAAGTAGCCACCCTGCCTGCACTGAAGTTAGAGGACTCCTGTAGACCCCTCCTTGCCACCTCAAGACCTTGATCTTCCAGACTGATCTGGGTTTCCTTCTTAAGAAATGACAAGTTGAGAAATGTATGACATGCCTGTCTGCTGCCGATGATAGTGAGGCTGACTAATGGTTGGTGTCATAGGAAGTGCATTGTGCAGCCATCACCATTATCTCACTGTATGAAGCAATATGGCAGTGTAATCCCTCAGCCACCTACTGTGGAACATCTTGAGTTGGTGTAGCTCCTTTCGGTTCATGCCTGGGGTCTTTAGGACACTGGGGATGGACCGGACCATTGTGCGAGACCCAGTTGCAGTCTATCACAATGGTGCAAGTGGACAGCTAGGAATTCCTGTATTTTCCTGAGGCAGATAAGGGAAGACTTGGTTTGCGGCAGGGGGAGCAAGGGCATCCAGCCCTGCACTGGCAGTGGGCACTAATTCTCCCTGTACCCTCTATTGAGCTACTCCTAGAATCATACAACACCTGCAGTGTGGAAGCAGGCCATTCAGCCCATCGGTTCCACACCACTCTTCCGAAGAGCAGCCCACTCAGATCCACCACCCTATCCCTGTAACCCTGCATTCCCATGTCTAATCCACCTTGTCTGCATATCCCTGTACACTATGGGCAATTTAGCATGGCCAATCCACCTCCCCTGTGAATCTTTGGACTGTGGGAGGAAACTGGGGCGCCCAGTGGAAACCCACACAGACATAGAGAGATTGTGCAAGCTCCCACAGACAGTCGCCTGTGGCTGAAATTGAACCCGGGTCCCTGGCGCTGTAAAGCAGCAGTGCTAACCACTGAGCCACCATGCCGCCCCATACTGTATGGTTCTGGGTCATTACAGTGCAACCTGTGGCCCAGCCACACCAGTCTCCAGTACCTTTGTTACCGTCGCAGCTCCAGGATCACTGATAGAGGCTTCTTTTTTCAGTGAGTGTTTTTATGTCATATAAACTGGTGGAGGAGAAGATAATCAAGGATAGTCTTCAGGCTTATCTTAAAAGTAACATTGTTAAACCATAAGACCGTAAGGTGTGGGAGCAGGAGTAGGCCATTCAGCCCATTGAGTTTTCTCCTCCAATCAATGAGATCATGGCTGATCTGGTAATCCTCAACTCAACTTTACCCTTTACCCCATAACCCTTGATTCCCGTACTGATTAAAAATCCATCTCAGTCTTGAATATACTTAAAAACCCAGCCTTGACATCCCTCTGTGGTAAAGAATTCTACAGATTCACTACCTTCTAATAGAAGAAATTCCTCCTCATCCCTGTCTTAAATGGACAACCCTTACTGTGACATCACATCCTCTGGCCCTAGAATTTCCCACAAGGAAAAAAAAATTTTTCACATCTACCCTGTCAAGCCCCTTAGAGTCTTATATAATTAAATAGGGCCTCCTCTCATTCTAGAACTTTTAGCTTCCAATGAGTAGGCACTACTCAACCTCTCCTTTATAAGAGAAAATCTGGGATCAACTTAGTGACTCTTCCCTAGACCGCTTCCAATGCCAATATATCTGTTCCAAACTACGTTTCTCACTCTTAAACTGCTAAATTTTACCATGTTATGGTCACTGTTCCCCAGGGGATCCCTTTCTCTGAGATCATTTATTAAACCTACTTCATCACACATTACCAGATCCAAAGTAGCCCTGATCCCTGGTTGCATCTGCAATATATTGTTCTAGGAAACTGTCCTGAATACACTCTATGCATACATTCTCCTGGCTTCCTTTGACAATTCAATTTACCCTATCTGCATTAAAAGATTAAAATCACCCATGATTAATGCACTGTATTTTTTTTTACATGCCCTCACTATCTCTTAGTTTATTCTCTGTCCTACAGACTGACTACAGTTAAGGGGCCTATAGACTACTCCCACTTGTGTCTGTTTTCTCTTGTTATTTCTTGCACCCATATGGATTCTATGATCATCTGATTCTAGATCACCTAGATTATTTCTTGCTGTCATACTTATTCCATCTTGTACTAACAAAGCTGTTCTCTCCCTGCCTTTTTCACGTCCCCCTGAATATTTAGTTCCCTACTTGGATCTCCTTATAACCATGTCTCCATAATGACATTCACACTAAATATTGTTATATAGGGTATTCTTATACCAGGCTCTGACTGATAGTTACATTGGGTAATATCTTATGTTTCTCCTTCATGTGTTTGTATTCATGTCCATGTCTGTGTCTTCCAGAGAATCATATATCACAAGCCACAAGGACTCTTATCAATTTTTATAGATGCACCATAGAAAGCATTCTATCCGGATGCATCACACCTCAGTATGGCAACTGCTCTGCCTAAGACTACAGAAATTGCAGAGAGTTGTGAACGCAGCCCAGTCTGTCAGACAAACCAGCCTTCCTTCCATTGATTCCATCTATACTTCACACTGCCTCAGGAAAGCAGTCAACATAATTATAACCCCTCCCACCCTCTTCCATCAGACAGACAATACATAAGTTTGAAAACATGTACCAACAGATTCAAGAACAGCTTCTTCCCTGCTGTCATGAGAGTTATGAACAGACCCCTCATATGTTCGCGTTGATCTTTCTCTGCACCTTCTCTGTAACTGTAGCTATTTTGCATTCCGTTGTACCCTGAAGTACTTATATAAAGTATGATTTGTCTAGTTAGCATGCAAAACAATCCTTTTCACTGCATCTTGGTACTTGTGACAACAATAAATCAAATATTCAAATGTGCACCATCTTTTGTTCATTCTGGATTGTTCTAACGCTGCCCACACTGTGGTATTTACATGCAGTGACGTACAGTGCCATGAGATCATAGCAAGGATGCTTCAGAGTGCTATTACCATTACATGATAGCATCCTCCCTGAGCTCCACAGCCAAAAGTTGGTTGTAGTTCAGTGTCTCTCTGCGGTTTAGACAGCAGGTCATGGAGCATCTCAGGGAAATGTTCTGGTTTGATAATACTGTGGGACAATGACATTTATCTCATGAACCAGAGACTTGATCTGGACTCCAGCCTTTATACTTAAGACCATTGTGTGAAGTTTTTGTTGGCAAAAGGATTAGAGAATCAAGGCACGTAGCTGGAGTTAAGATACAGATCAGCCATTATTATATGTTGGTATAGATTTGACAGGCTGAATGGTCTTGTGTAAGAATTTATTTATTCTGTCTGCAATCAGACAATGACAAAAAGAGAACAGTTTGCCCATTTGTGTCTTTGTCAGCTTTATGAAGGAATGTCCCATTTATCCTCCAGAGTAGATTAGGAAAAAGAGTGATTTACATTTACGTAGCATCTTGTGGACAGTATACACTGCTACCATTGTGTGTCAGTGCTAGAGAATATGTCATTGCATTAATGATAATTGTTGTGAGGACCTTATCTCTTTGTGTTTTTAAAATCTGTGGACTGAAATGAGATTGAACTGTTCTAAAACCACTGTATGAAAGGGTGGCTACGGTTTTGAAAAACAAGTAACCTGACTGTTGGAACAAGCAGGAAGTGAAGTTTGAGTTGCAGACAATTTGGAGCTGAGGGTGTGTACAGAAGCAGCTTTTGCTGCCGACAAGAAATTGTTTGGTCTATCGACGAGTGACCAGTTATCAATGACAGACATCTTTTTGCCTGCCAACAACTGTGATTGGTTCTCTGGTAACAGAACATCTTGGAGCTAGGAACAAACTGCAGAGAGAGAGGTGTTTTGTTCTTCCCCAGCTTGGGAACAGTCTCTCTGTTCCCTGCAGTCAAAGCTTACTGTTAACCTGTGGAAATCCACTTTATCCTTCCTGGAACAGTTGTTGTAAGCTCTGAATTTTAACTGATGAGTCAGAGACTTTGTATAAGTGAACCAGCCAGCTTCTGTCTCTCTCAAACCAGTGCAACCATCAGGAGAAAGATGGCTGAAGCAATCTGCTAGCCAGCAGAGGAGTCATAAAGATCGTTTAATAACTAGAACCTGGGAACAAAGACTGTTGAACTATCTTTCCTATTTTTCCTCTCTGCCCATTATTGATTCTACCCTGTTTGTATGTTTGTGAGTGAGAGAAAGGGGAATTTGTAAAGAGGATTAGAGATTATATTAATAGTATCATATGCCAGCAGTTTATAACTACTTATCTGTAGATGGAGTTGAATTACTTGTAATAAATAGTAATTTTTGTTAGTCTATTCTTTCTATAAAGTAACTAAGTCAGATACATTGTGGAATTTTGCATATTTTGTAAAATCTTTAAACATTTGTTATTTCTTATTTGCATCCCTTCCTCTTGAATGCAACTCTATGTCCACCCTCTCTCTGTGAAGCATTTTTACATGATTATCATGTAAAAATAATTGCAGGAAAGTGTAAGTTGGTGCTCTTTCAATGTTGAATGCTGCTGTGCTGATCTGGTTTACTTTTGTCTTCTAGTTGGTGTCTGCAGAAGGTTCTCACTCGGATACTGGATCCACGTGTGCAGACAGCCAGTCGGATTTGCCTCCCCCCATTGAGCGAACTGGGGGCATCGGAGATTCACGACCACCCTCCTTCCAGTAAGTACACCAGGCAGGTCTACATTAACAATTAGGACTCATGCTATGCTTCCATTTTCCTTCAGAAAGTGAGCAGTGTGTTGATATTTGATAGGACCAAGACCCTGCTTAGGGTTCAAAGAACAGGGTGCTCTCTCTAACCATTACCCCTTGTCTTTCAATGCATTACCATTGCTGAATTTCCTCCCTATGGTCAATTTCATTTACAAAAGAAAATCTGGTTCACTAATACCCTTTAAGAAAGGAAATGTGTCGGTATCTTATCTGAAGTCACACAACACCAGGTTATAGTCCAACAGGTTTATTTGAAATCACAAGCTTTCGGAGGGTAGCCTCTTCATCTGGGCAATGCTCCGAAAGCTTGTAATTTCAAATAGATCTGTTGGACTATAACCTGGTCTCGTGTGACTTCTGATATTGCCCATTCCAGTCCAACACTGGCACCTCCACGTCATGGCCCTTTGCTGGTAAGTCCTATCTGTGATTCCAAACCCACAACGATGCAGTTGAGTCTCAACCTCCCTCTGAAATTACCTCAGAAGCCATTCAGTTCAAGGACAATGAATGATGGGTAACAAAGGCTGCCCTTATTATTGATGCCCACACCCCCAAGTAAGAATAAAATAAACATTTGTTAGCCTTGCTACAATCCAAGCTGATGTTAATACTGGACAAATAAGACCATAAGTTTTTGTTTCTTTTTAACTATGAAAGTCAGTTATGGAACCCATTTACAATAGTTTGTCAGTATACTTTTAAAACAAAGAGTAACGTGTTTTATTTAAAAAAAACCACAAAGTATAACATGTTGGACAAAAAAAAGGCTGGTTTTCATTACAAACACCAGAAAAGGATTCAAACCTTTATTATTCCTTTTTCCCAGCAATATCTTTACAAAAACCAAACATGGTGAAGATTCACTATCATCTTCACATTAACGCTTTTTATTAAGGCTGGCACAGCTACAGCTGGTTTCCTTCCTTCAATTTCCTGTGTATTTGGTAGATGCTTTTCTTCAGCTGATATCTTTCCCTGAAACACACCATACAAACTGCAAACTAAACTCATTATTGCTCTAGTGTTAGAGAAAACACATCAGTTCCCTAAACTTAGTTTTCAGCAATATTTTAGGATTTCTAATTGGAGAGTTCAACCCTCCTGTTTCCACTTCCTGCCATTATTTCTCTCTCTCTCTCTCTCTCTCTCTCACTCACACTCAC